CACATGCAAGTTGAGGACTTTAGCTGCTAGGCTCCTGTGCCAGGTCCTCAAATGAATACATTTTAAAAAGTTCATTTGAAAGCCACACTCACTTCCCCAGTATCCCACCCGTCAGTCTTTGGGTGCCTGTGCGGTGTCTGTGATGTAATTGCTCCGGGTGCCTTGTTGGAACAGGAGGAGCCCAGTCACTTGCACTTTGGGGGTTGGCACTTGGAGCAGCATCCTGTAGATCCCTCCCTGTGGCGTGTGCCACATCTGCATCCTGTTCTGCCACAGCCCATGTTGTGTCGTCCGCGCATCCTTGCATTCCTCAACACCCACTTTGCTTCCACCTTGGGACTGTGTCGCTTGGTCTGGACGTGGTTCGAGTTTGTCTCCCCAGAGGCCCATGTGTGGTGCAGCTCAGTTCTCAGTGTGCTGATGTGCTGGGAAGGGGTTGTTGCTGGTTTGTCCCAGCGCTCTTGCTCACAGGGAGTCTCTCCCCGTTGTTCCCTCTCCTACCACTGCAATGCCGTCCACCACGAGGTTGCCTCCTGGATCGATGCCAGTGCTATGTCCTTGAACCCTGGAGCTATAAGCCCCCAGTGAACCCATTTTTCTTACTGAGTTCCCAGCCTCCAGCAATTATTATAGTAACAGAAGACAGACTAATATTCTAGGGGGCCCCAAGTTAATTTGAAACTACGTAAGGATTTTTATCTCCTCGTATAGTATCTCTGTATATATTACATGTATTTTTCTAGCATGATATATATGCTGTGCTATATAAGCGTTTCTTTTTAAATTTACTCCTCACTGTTTTTTCCTACATAATTACAACCGTATAGTCCTTCAGCAACAGTCCTAAGTCCATCATTTTGCTGTCAAATGTTCTTCCATGGTTGCACATCTAAGATGTTTCTAGCTTTTCCTTGGATCGGCACTGTGGGGAAGCAGCTGAAACTGCTACTTGCAATACTGGCATCCCATCTGGGACACCCGTTCGTGTCCTGGCTGCTCCACCATATGGTCCGGGTTCCCGCTCAAGCATCTGGGACAGAGCAGAGGGTGGATCCCTGCATCCCCGGCCAACAGCTTCATTTCCACCCGGGGAGAGCTGCTGTAGACTTCTTTTAAAAAATGTCTCCTTTTCCATTGTTTGTTTGAAAGCAGAGAGAGTAAGAGAGATCTTCTAATTGCTAGTTCACTCGCCGAATGCCCACAACAGCCACATTGAAGCCAGGAGCCCAAAACTCCATTTGGGTTTCTCACCTGGGTGACAGGGACCCAAGAAGAACCCTGGCAGTTTTTTCCTGCCTCCCAGGCCGGCCATGAATGTAGAGGCAGGACTTAACTCAAGGTGCTGGGATATAGGGTGCGTGTTCTTTTTTTTTTTTGCAAATCGTTCACGCTCTCTGTCTCACCAACATCTGTAAGGGCAGAATAATAGAGGTCCTGAGAGGTGGTGTCAGGATGCGGGGAGGCAACGCCCAACCCTGCACACACCCTTACACACGCCAGGGCTTACAAACCCAAGGGTAGAGTCCCCTTCGCCTTTCTCCCCTGCAAATGCTCTGAGATCCATTCCTTTCCACCAGCAGCTGCTGTGCCTGGCAGCTCTTTGTGGAGAGGGACAGGGGCTGCATTCTGGTTCCTTCTTGACTGCCAGTCTGCGTTCAGATCCATCAGGGGTTAATGAGAGCGGTGACAGATAAGCCCCAAGGTAGGGGAAAAAAATAACCGTGCAGGCTGGTACCCATTTGCCTGGAATAGTATCTCCTCGTCTCTCTCTGCCCCAGCCCTGCCTCCCTGCCTTTGACGTAGGGAGCTGAGGGGTTGAATGAAACCTATCGGGGCTTCCAATTAGTTGCATGGACAAAGGGCACACACACACACACACACACACACACACACACGCACGGCATCCTCCAATACCAGGTGGCAATAAATCCGTCAGCACGTCCACTTCCAGAAAGCAGAGTTCTCCAGGCTTCCCAGCAGCCCGAGCCTCTCGCCAAGGACAGGAGACTGCCAGGTAAGGTGGTGCTTTTTCTCTCTCTGTACTCCTTCTTTGCAATGTTTCTCATCAGAAAATGTCACCCAGGAGGTTTGCTACTGACTTATGGGCAATTTCCCAGTTTGGTTTGTTTTTTTGCTTTGTTGAGTCGCTCCCTGTACGACTTCATTCTGTTTCTCACCTCCCAGTCTAGGTTGACTTTCCTTTAGTCTGTTCTTATTTTCATCATTAGGTATCCTGATTCAATTTGGATAGCCTTTTAATTTTTTTTTATTTGCACAGAGGAATAAACAGTCTTAAATCAATGATGCATGTTCTAGCTAAGATGTGCCTGGTCATGTGTTTCCCCAGGGACTGGGCCATGAAGGACGTTGGTCTCCCAGCTGTGGGCTCAGCTTAGCACGCTGGCCCCTTCCAAACTTTGACATTGGCTATTGTACCCAAGTAGAATTATTGACTTCTTGTATCACAAAAGAAGTTCATGGTAGAATATCTGAAGTTAAAGGAGTGTAAAAAGAAGATACTTTTGAGTCATTGGTTATATAAAAAAGAGCGCTGGGTGTAGTCTTTTACAAACATGCACAGCATTGATTTGCCTTTAAGACAACGGAGATCAGGATGTAGGTACGGCCTAATGTACTTTTTAGTTAATATTTCCTCGAGAGTATTTTCCAAGTTGCTATAATGACTTGAGACACGATTTTTAACACGTTTATTTTTTTTAAATGATAAAATCATTCAACCGTGAATTGTGAATGAACCTACATCTCTGGCTGTGTCTGTGATCATTCGTGGAGTCGCAAAATCGAAGGGTGTCAGTTTGGGAGACTTGATCATTTTGTGGCTGCGGTCTTTGTAAATGGTGCGGGGGTGGTTGGTGCCACACAGAATAAGAGAATGAAATTCGTCTCCGAAGTCTGGCTTAATGCCAACTAGCAATATGGAATCAGATGATGAAGTTAGCATTTTGTGGACATGGTACAACTTATCTTTCCCGGGAGGGCTTTAGCAATGAAAGTAAAAAAATAATAATAATAAAAATAAAGAGAGAGTGCTCCCAGCACCAGAGGGCTGGGGAAAGTGGCAGCCACATGTCAGAAAGCCTGGGTGTTTCATCCCAGCTCCTCAGTAAGTGTGGGACCCAGGATGGGGAGCCGCTGAGTCGTTGGGAGGTTTGATTTAGGCAGATGCTTTTCTGTATCACTTGAGAAGTTCTGGGTTATATGTGGACATGCGCGCGCGTGTGTGTGTGTGTGTGTGTGTGTGTCTGTGTGACACCTAAGGTTACTTTTTAACAGCCGTTCATATTTAAGAAGAGGGGAACTTAGCAAAGATGTAGTAAATGAGCGAGTAGGCGGTCCTCAGCTACAGCCTGAGTTTCAAGGCGACAGGTAAACATCTGAAGGTCGGAAAACATCCCTGCACAGGTGATCTTTAGAACCTGCTTGATGTGCTTGGTGTAATTAAGGAGAGAGACAGCTGGGCAGCAGTGCTTATGTGCAAGGCATGCTGGGAAGCAGTAGAGTTATTGCGAGCACCGAGACACTGCATGATGTCTATGGAAAGTGGAATAAACAGTTAAGCTTGTTGGGCTACAAAACGTTTTTGAAAATTATGCATCCCTTCACACAGTTTGCAGATGGGGCAGGCATTTGGTCTCCTGTAAAGTATGCCCAGATCCCAGTGTTGGAGTACCTGGGTTCTATCCCTGGCTGCAGATCCTAATCCCAGCATCCTGCTAATGCAGACCCTGGCAGGCGGTGCTGGTGGCTCATGTGGTTGGGTGTCTGCCAGCCACAAGGGAGACCTGAATTGAGCGCCCAGCTTCTGGCTTTAGCTTCTGCCCAGATCCAGTCACTGTAGACCTCTGGGGAGGCATGCGGCTGATGGAGCTTGGCCTGATGTGTGTGAGTCTTTCCCAAATAAGTAAGTAAAATTTTTAAAAAGCAAACTCTCTCTCTATGAGGATTTGTATCTCTGAAAGACAGAGTGACAGAGGGAGAGATTTTCCACCTCCCACCTGCTGATTCACTCCCCAAATGTCCACAATAGTCAGGGCTGGCTCAGGCTGAAGCCAGGATCCAGGAATCACATCCTGACTGTCCATGTGGGTGACAGGGGCCTGAGCACCAGGGCCATCTTCCCCTACTTTCCGAGCTGCATTAATACAGAGCTGGATCAGAAATGGAGCAGCCAGGACTGGATTGGATGGCCATAGGGGGTGCTGGTACTGCAGGCCACAGTTTAACCTCAGTGCTGGCCCCAACAAAACATCTGTTTTGAAAGTTATGAAAAAATACATATTGTACAAAAGCAATGTGTGGGTTTTAAGAATTTTTAAAAATGGTTTATTTTATCCTTATTGGAAAGGCAGATTTCACAGAGGAGAGACAGAGAGAAAGATCTTATTATATACATGGGTTCACTCCCCAAGTGGCAACAACAGCCAGAGCTGAGCTGATCCGAAGCCAGGAGCCAGGAGCTTTCTCCAGGTCTCCCATGTGGGTGCAGAGTCCCAAGGCTTTGGGCCATCCTCAGCTGCTTCCCCAGGCCACAAGTAGGGAGCTGGATGGGAAGCGGGGCCGCTGGGATTAGAACTGGTGCCCATGTGGAATCCTGGAATATTCCAGGTGAGGACTTTAGCCACTAGGCCACTGTGCCAAGTTCTGGGATTTATCTTTATTTGACTTAATTCACTTGACATATGATCTCTTGTTGCAAATGTTGGGATTTCTATATTTTATTATAGAGACACTTCTTTTGATTCCATTTTATTTATTTTTGTCTCACCCTCATGTAGAGAGCAAACAGACTCAAGCATAAGAACAGCTTCCAAGCTCAGGCTCATCACTCATCATCCTTTTTGTGTTTTGTTTTTGCCATCTTATTAGTGAATCGCACCCAACTCTTCTTAAAGCCTCAGTACGGCTGCAGAAGACCAGTGCCCGCCACAATACTCTCCCAGGAAGCCAGTGGGGAAGACATCCAGAGCCCCTCCCTCACCATGCTCCGCGCTGTTTTGGGCGCACCCCAGAGGCTGCTCGGGGACGAGAGGGCATCCCGGCGGCTGGTGCTGGTGGTGGTGTTTGTGGCCCTGTTGTTGGACAACATGCTTCTCACTGTGGTGGGTACGTGCCGGAAGTTCTCGGTGCTGAGGGCTCTCGCCAGCCATGGGTCCCCGTGGGCAGCATGCTGCAGCCGGCTCCATTTGAGCAGCGAGCGTAGAGAGGGTTGGCTCTCAGAAGTGGCTGGGGATTCCAAATATAGGGAGGAAATGGGGTTTGCAACGGAACTGATGGCTACGAAAGGTAACAAGAAAAGGAAGCCAGAGAGCATTTGGTTAGACAGGAAGGATGCTCTAGATCCAGAAAGGGCCTGTCCCCACACTCCTTCCCCAGGAAATCCCTTCGCAGGCTTGCTTCCCCAGTCCCTGTTGTTGAACAACATCAGGGCTGTCCCGGGCCAGTCTGCCCCTCTGTGGCTGAATTACAGGGGAAGCTCATAGAACTTACATTCATGTAAGTCTCATCTTTAATCCCTAAGAACAACACATCCCAGGATGCTCCCTACCTTTAAGTTTGATTTTTATTTGAAAGGCAGGTTTATAGAAAGAAGGAAAAATACAGACACACACACACACACACACACACACACACACACACACACAGATCTTCCATCTTCATTCCCCAAATGGCTGCAACAGCTGGAGCTGAGCCAGGCTGAAGCCAGGAACTTGAAGCTTCTTTGGGGTCTCTCACCAATTGCAGGGTCCAAAGGACTCAGGCCATCCCCTGCTGCTTTGCCAGGTCATAAGCAGGGAGCTGGGTCAAAGTGGGACAGCTAGGACGGGAACTGTCACCCTTGCAGAATGCTGGCTCTACAGGCAGAGGCTTAACCTACTACGTCATGGTCTTGGCCTCGCCCTATTTTCTTTTATGAAAAAGAAAATGGGGCTCAGGTGTGTTGAGTGACTTGCCAAGGGCCACCATGAACATGTGCCCACAGTGCAGAGGTCCTCTTGGTCCTATACTGCCTGCCCTCTGGGAGAGGCAGACTTTTGTTGGTGGTGTTCTCTGTGCAAGTTAACCAAACAGTATGTCAGCTCTAAGGGTGCTGACAGGTAGAGCCAGCCGGAAGAAGCGTGGCACTTATGACAGCTGGGGAAAATCGTGAGTCATTGTCCCATCAACATAGTCTAGGTGCTTTGAGTGCTAGGAGCATGGCAGCAGTCTGATAAAAGGCTTCACCATGGGTGCACCTGGCGTGGGCACACTTGAGCCTGGCTGTGGGAAGGAATGAGTGCACCCAGCCCTTGTCCCATGTCCCTCTTGCCTTTCAGTGCCCATCGTGCCCACCTTCCTGTATGCCGTGGAGTTCCAAGGGGTCAACTCTTCCTCCCCGCCCCCCAGCCGGGCTCTCTCCACTCCCGCCATTTCCACCATCTTCTCTTTCTTCGACAACTCCACCGTGGCTCTTGGAGGGAGCATACCTGGGACTGTGGTGTGGACAGATGGCACTTCTGTCGCCAGCCCGGCTCCCATCCCTGTATCCTTCTCGGCTCACAACAGCAGCTGTTGGCAAGGCACAGAATTCCTGGAAGAAGAAAATGTTCGAGTTGGGATTCTGTTTGCATCGAAGGCGCTGATGCAACTTTTGATCAACCCATTCGTGGGTCCACTCACCAACAGGTATGTCAGGAGGTGCAGGGTCCTGTGCAGGCTGCTGTGGGGGTTGGGAACAGTGCATCAGGCTGAGGAGTCCCAAGGTTAGTTACGGGGGAGGTGGCTGGATCCTAAGAAAGGCAAATACTCCCAGAGTGAAGTAACACTGATGCTGTGTGACTATTTTCATATTTTCTTAGTGATATGATGAATATTTGGCAGCAAGAAGAGCCAGTGAACAATATGATGCTTTTTTTAAACTTTATTTATTTGAAAGGCAGTGTGACACAAAGACAGGGACACACACACACTCATGCATAGATTTACCGTCTGTTGGTTTACTCCCCAAATAGCTGCAACACCAGGTTTGGTCCAGGGTTAAGCCAGGAACTCCATCTGGTCTCCCACATAGGTGACAAGTGCCCAATTACTCAGGCCGTCCTCTGCTGCCTTGCCAGGTGTATTAATAGGGAGCTGGATTGGAAATGGAGTAGCCAGGACTCCAGCTGGTGCTCTGAGCTGAGAAGCTGACATCGCATGCTGGGCCACATTGCTGGCAGTCAGCAGAGTGGAGAGAGAGAGAGAGAGAGATCTTCTATCTGCTGGTTCATGCCTCCAAACAGCTGTGATGACTGGAGCTGGTCTGATCTGAAGCCAGGAGCCAAGAGCTTTTTCTTGGTCTCCTATGAGGATGCAGGGGGCGCAAGCACTTGAGCCATCTTTTGCTGCTTTTCCAGGCACATTAGCAGGGAGCTAGATTGGAAGTGGGGCAGCTTGGACTTGAACTGGCATGCATGTGGGATGCTGGCATCACAGGCAGAGGCTATACCGCAGCGCCAGCTCCCAGCAACATGAAGGCATGTTCTGTCAGTACTCTGGAACATGACCTGAGTGGGATGAGGGTGTACGTGGGGGTGGTCTTCTTGCATTCTAGAGCACTGGCCCCTTTTGGCTACGTTTGGGATATACTCTCTAACTACACCGCCCGTTCTGGAAGGGAGGATCTGGGCACAGTCAATGGGTTCATACACATGGCCGCTGATCTGCTGGTCTCTGTTGAGTGTCCTGAAAGTACTTGGTCACAGATTCAGACTTTCTTTCAGCTTTCTGCCACCCACATTGTAAAATGTCCTCCAGGTGTGTGAGTGCCAGTTGAGGTTGCATCTTCGTGTTCTGCAATTCCCTTTCAGGATTGGATATCACATTCCCATGTTTGCTGGCTTCGTGATCATGTTTCTCTCCACAGTTAGTAAGTACTGGGCTTTCTCTTCTTCGTCCTGTGTGTGCGTGTACCTCCATCGGTAATACCAGAAGCCAGCTTAGCACCACGCCTCTCATCTTTGGGAGGAGATTCCATAATTTGGATGCACAAAGGTCAAGGGTAAAATTAATAAAAGAAATGGAATTTGGATCACAGGACCTGGGGGAAAAGACTCCAGAAAGTCCACTGCCCTCTAGCAAAAACACTTTTAAAGGCTAGGGAAGTAAATCTAATAAAACAGCAAGAACAAGAACCGCAGACTACTGAGTGTTAGCTGAATCTCCCTAATAAAATGGAGATGGGGTCACAACAGAACGGGAGATGAGGAAGTTGAGAAATGGATTCTGAGAATCAGAAGGGAGAGGAGTGTGTTAAGGGCATGGTGGGGGTGTCTGGGCCACTGCTGTCTTTGCTGGTTCTCTGTCCCAGCAACAGTCCCTCCCAGGACCCGACCTTCTTCCTGTCCTTCTGCCATTTAGCTGCTTTCCCTGTTTCCCTCCTGTCAAAGTTTAATCTGCCCTGCATGGGGCTTGGCTCTGACCATGCCAATGTTTAACAGGAACCTGCTGCACGCTGGGCTGGGAGAGCTTGACATGGGAAATTCGCATTTATCTGTAAACGGAGTCCAAGAAAATGAGGAAGTTCAAGCTAGCCGTGTTCCGTGAACATTCTGGAAGCTCAAGCCTCCCCTTTCTGTTTCCCTGTCTTTCTCTTCCCTCTCCTCCTCTGCTCTACCCTCCTTTCCTCACCTCTCCCTTCTCCTTCCCTCCTTTCTCCTCCTTTCTCCTTTCCTCACTCCTCCCCTCCCCTCCCCTCTCCTCTCCTCTCCTCATTTCCTATTTCAGTACTGCGTCACCCTTTAAGCGCTCTGGCTGAGAACCATCCTTTAACCCAATGAGTAGCTAAATGGCAGCACCCAAAGCAAGTTGCTCTAATCCACTTTACAGCAGGTGACTGGCCGTCCTGGTTTGCCTGGAATCTAGGTCTTCTCCCAGCACAGGACATTTTCCATTTTAGAACAAGGCAGTTCCTGGGAAGTGGAGGTGAATGGGCCGCTGCATATTTCAAAGACACAGTGGAGTTAGATCAGATGGGTAGCTGAAGGCCCGACCACGGTCGCTGGCAGTCAGACAGGGAGAGACCTGGCCCATACGTGTCTGGGAGAGCACAAGGAGCTGAGGCGTGGGAGAAGATGGAGGCAGAGGAGCCGCACTGCCAGGGACACCTGTAATGAGTGGGCGAAGGGATTAACCCTCTCCTGACTCAGCACACTGCGGCAGGCGTTTTTCCCTGGAGTCAGAGGTGACGCATGTCTGGACCTACCACCCTGCCCAGCACACCCTGTGATTTAGGTTTGGATAGCCTAGACCTCTTTGGTTCTCCGTTGTCAAGCATATTCATTTCCAGGAGATAGAAGCTCTTGGAAGGGTGTGGACTGGATGTTCTGTATTTTGCACCCACCACAGAGTCTGCCAGAGCTGAGCTTTGTTGGCACGGACTTGGTTGGATTAAAAGATCTTCTGATAGAAGTCAGGGGGAGGGTCTGATTGGATGGGAGATGTTACTGTCTACCCAGGACACACTCTATTCCAGATAATTCAGGTAACCATTAATGACCAAGCCCTGATCTGGGTCTTGCACGTGGAGGATTCGAGAGCAGCCATTCCATGTGGATAGAATAGGGACCCAAGCACTTGGGCCATCCTTTGCTGTATTTGCAGGGACGGGACGGGAAGTGGATCAGCCAGGACTTGAACCAGTGCCCACAGGGGATGCCAGTGTTGTGGGCTATGGCTTAACCATTTACCCCACGGTCCGGGAGTAGTGACATTAGTACCATCAGCAATGCTGTTATAGTTCACATCACATTGCCAGGTGCAATGTCTCATGTAAGCCTATGGGACAGTTCCCTGGCGCCAGAGGACACAGAGGTCCAGCTTTCCGTCCGCTGTGTGATGACTCACTTGGTACTTCTGTGCATTGTCAGTCTTCTGGCCAATCCAAAAGCTGTCGTGAGTGAGAGTGGGAGGTGAAAAGGACAGCTCCCCGAGCAGGGAGCAGCCAGCAGGCCTCGTGACTCATCTCTGCCGTGTTGTGGCGGGGGAGGCCAGGACGACCGGCTCACTGGAACATTCTTGTGTTTCCCTGTGCTCAGTGTTTGCGTTCTCTGGCACCTACGCCTTGCTGTTGGTGGCCCGGACCCTTCAAGGCATTGGATCTTCATTTTCGTCTGTTGCAGGTAATGCTGACATCCCCCAACTGGTACTGTGACTGCCTTAGACGCTGTAAGATTTCCCTGGAGACATTAAGGTAGAAATTGTGGCTCAGAAGCGAGGTATACAATTGTAGTGTTGCTGTTGAGGGTGGCGGTGGGGACTGTGAATCCCTAACCCTGACGTCACTTCCTCTGCTCACGCTCAGCTAGGAACACGCCCATGTCCAACCTGAAGTTGACCAAGCTCATGGCCCTTTCTATGTCCCTCTCTTAATGTTTTATAGGAGCATTTCTATTAGGTTCATTTAAAAAAATTATTTATTTGAAAGAGGGAGGGCTAGTACTGTGGCTCAACAGGCTAATCCTTCTCTCCATGGTGCCAGCATCCCGAATGGATGCTGCTTCACTTTTGATCCAGTTCTCTACTTATAGCCTGGAAGATCAGAGAAGGACAGCCCAAGTCCTTGGGGCCCTCCACCCACATGGGAGACCTGGAAGAGGCTCCAGGCTTCTGGCTTCGGTTCAGCTATGGCCATTGTAGCCATTTGGAGGAGTGAACCAGAGGATGACAGGTGGCAGGGGTCCAAGCACTTGGGCCAACCTCCCTGCTTTCCCGGTTACATTAGCAGGAAGCTGGACTAGAAATGGAGCAGCCGGGATGCAAACTAGTGCCCATGTGGGATGCTGACGATGCAGGCAATGGCTTAGCCTGCTGCATCCACACTGCTGGCTCAGGATTGGTAAATGAATACTTCCAGAGATGCCAATACAATTCAGAACTAATGACCAGATACAGTATGTCATGTAACCCTATGACATGGCTATTGGATGCCATCCTGCACGGTAGCTGGCCATGGAGTGCAGGTGCCATGCTAACAGCCCTTGTTGCCTTTCCCAGAAACCGTTGCACCCGCAATGCTATTCTGAACAGAAGTAAGCCAAGTTGGGGTTTGGGGAATCACATAGGGCAGAGTTTGCAATATACCATGTCAAAATTTGGTAAGCTCTACTGTGCCACCATCCAAAATACTCTAACTATAGCCAAGATTGTCACTGAAGCTGTACTAGGGCAGGGACCAAGGGCTGCGGGAGAGGCTGATGGCGTTCTCCATCCTGTTTGTCAACTCCATCTGTCTTCTTACTTAGGACTTGGTATGCTGGCCAGTGTTTACACTGATGACCACGAGAGAGGACAAGTCATGGGGATTGCCCTGGGTGGCCTGGCTTTGGGAGTGCTAGGTAAGGTGCACCTGCTTGGAAACAGGTATCGAAGGGTAGGAACTGCTGACCTTCTTGAAGGCAGCTCCGGGAGGCAGGCGGTCCCAAGGCCATGCAATATGAATGTTTCTCTTCCCCTCCCTGGCCCATGTCACTCCCTCAAAAACACAGCTCAAGAAAGGTGATATTGCTTTGTCTTTGAGTTGCTGAGCAGCCCAGAAGGGTTCTAGGAAGGTCCCTAAACCCAAGCTGTTCCCAAGTTCATGGTCATTGCTGGCCTCACTTTTGCCTCCACATCCACCGTGCATGTTTTCCTTATAAGAAAAGCCCTCGGCCCCATTCTGCTCAATTCCATTAAGACAACCTCTCCTCTCTTCTTCACCCTGCAGAGCGGGGAATGAGTGCCCCATGATAAAGGGTAATGGTCGCCCAAAGTCACACAGCCGGGTGATACCAGAGTGGGGAGTGTACCCTCTATGCCTGGCATTCCCCTCACTGAGGCCTTGACGCTCTGAGGTTTAGCTGGGAGTCTCTTGCCTAGCCTGTGTGCCCTCTTGCCCACTGTTGAGGAGGACGTGGGAGAAGGGGAGTGGGAGCCCACCCACCCAAACCATCTACCAGAACCACTGGCGTGCCTTGAGCGCTTCCTCTATCATGGAGGTGATTCCCTAATGAGCCAACCAGTGCTGTCCTCTCTGGCCGCTGTATCCAGGTAGTTCCTCATACACTTGGGCTAGACTGTTGCCACTGGCCTTCTGTGCTTGCATGGTGTGTGTTCTTTTCTTCATCCTTGAGAGGATGCTCCTGAAACCCAGAGCTAGCGGGGTTCCCCCTGTCCTGGGAAGCCAGGTGTAGATGCCTTATCTTGGTGAGGGGCTCTCAACTTCACTCCACCTCCACTCCCTCCCCGAGTGCCCCACCTTCTCCTCCTTAAATCCTTGCCCCCTGGAAGCTCCGCCCAATCTCTCTGTGCCCACGCATGCTTCTCTGCCAAGTGCAAAACTCATGGGGCTACCAGCACTTTCTGATTCACATCGCCTCACGGGCACACCGTGGCATCTTGCACCTGCCGTGTTTGCTGCTCAACTTTACACTGTGTTCTGATGATCCTGTTCCCCTCCTCCCTCCCTGCCCCTGCACAGACACATTTCCTGCTGGAAAGTGGGTTTCTGGGGAGGGACAACCAGCAGGTCTTGTCCATCTCTGAGTCCCCTTTTGTGGACTGGGCCTCTTGAGGGAAGCGTAGGGGATGCCCATGAGACTGGGAGAGGTCCTTACCTTTGGAACACGTGTGCCACTTTGTCTTCCAGCGGGGGCTCCCTTTGGAAGTGTGATGTATGAGTTCGTTGGGAAGTCAGCTCCCTTCCTCGTGCTGGCCCTGCTGGCGCTTCTGAATGGAGGTACAGGGTCATCAGTGGTGTCACCAGTGGGGTCCCCTGGAGAGGCATGTCACTTTGGACTACTGCTGGGTGGGTGTGGGTGGATCTGTCTGGGTGGCTCTGTGACTGCCCCATCCTAGGGAGGAAGAGGCAGTTCAGGCAGGCACACTCCTACGTGTTGTGGCCGGGACAGTGTGGCTGTTGCCACAGCCGCCACTCAGCAGGGGACAGACTGGACTCTCTCTCTCTCATCCTTAGCCCTTCAGCTATGCATCCTGCATCCTTCCAGAGTCTCCCCCGAGGTGAGTAGGCGCCAAGACCTATGACAAAGCGGTATCTGAAATCCATATGTAACTTTTTTATAAAATGAATTTTTAAAGAGAGAGGGAAGGGAAGAGATAAGGGAAAAGAGAACAAGGAGAGAAAGAACTTCCAGGTACTGGTCACTCCTCAAATGGCAATAGCCAGGTCTGGGCCAGGCTGAAGCCAGGAGCCAGCAGCCTCATCTGAGGCTCCCACATGGGTGCAGGGACCCAAGAACGTGGGCCATGTTCCACTGCTTTCCTAGGCAAATTAGCAGGGAGCCAGGTTGGATGTGGAGCAGCTGGGATTTGAACCCACGTTCATACGGGATGGGATGTCAGTGATACAAGCAGTGGTTTTATCTGACATGCCACACAGCACTGGCCCCAAGATGTATTTTTAATTTTTGTTTGAAAGGCAGAGTTACATACACAGAGAGGGAAAGACAGATCTTCCATGTACTGGCTTGCACCCCACCTCCACCCCTGCCCAAATATGGCTCCAATGGCCAGAGCATGGCCAGGCCAAGGTCTCAACCAGGTCTCCCACGTGGGTGCAAGGGGCCCAAACACATGGGTCATTTTTCATTGCTTTCCCAGGTGCATTATCAGGGAGCTGGATCAGAACAGGAGCAGCCAGGACTTGAACCGGTGTCATTATAGGGTGCTGGTGGTACAGCAGAGACTTGACCTGATGCATCGAAGCGTCAAAGTATCAACCACACACTTTCTCCATGAGACTGAGGACACGTAGAAGACTTTTTTTCTTTTTTTTAATGAAACTCCGCTTTAAAAATGTAGTGTGAGGCTTGACCAGGTTCCATTGTCCCAGACCATTTTCCCATTCGATGGTCTCTATACACAGCGCTGGCTGTATTTCCCTCCTTTATGGATGTTCTCATGTAGTCTTCATCAATTCCCTAAAGACATCATCATCCTGTTCCAGTTGGGGCTTCCAAGTATGGATTTCAACCCACAGCTTTGATAGGATCTTGTTTTCTGCAGACACAGACCATCTGTATCATCTGAAAGATAAAATTATGCCTAAGGCTTTACCTGGGGCTGTCAATGTCCCCACAGTGCTCCCCCCTCCCGCTTCCCAGCACCTGCAGGAGTCAGTGTCCCTGTTTCCTGGATTCTCGCTCTGTGCCCTTTCCATCCCTCCCAGGGCCTTCCCGGGGCTCTTTCTCCTGCTGCTCCCAGCTGTAGGGACCACCTTGTGCAGCTCCTATGTCTGGGATTTTGTGGTTGCATCCTTTATCATATTGGCAATATTTTCTTATTTCTATTTGAAGTACAAGATTAAAAAGCGAGGGATGGAGAGACTCAGAGAGAACTTACCTCCACTGGACCACTCCCCAAATGCCCACAGTGGCCAGAGCATGGGCCAGGCTGAAGCCAGGATCTAGGAGCCACTTCCAGGTCTCCCATTGTGGCTGTGAGGGCTCAAGGACCTGAGCCATGCTATCCTGCTTTTCTCATGCCTCTAGTGAGGAGCTGGATTGGAAGTGGAGCAGCTGGGGTGCGAACTAGTGTCCATTAGGAATGCTAGCACTTCAGGCAGAAGCTTAACTCGGTATACTGTGGTGCCTGCCCCGCTGCGATAACTTTTAGAGTAAATTACTAGACGTGGGATTGTTGGATTAAAAGGCTTATTGCGATTTTTTTATGTACATTTTTATGATTTAAATCAGTTTCTTTGAGTCATGTATGGGGCGAGGGTGCAGTCTTTAGAGTTTTAGCATCACTATCAAATTCCATTCCTGTGGTATCTACAGGGAGGGTTGTCACATCTAGCTATTAAATATCTCCCAATACTGAGTGTGGTAAATATCATAGAGGATTAGGGCATGGTGTTCAGAAGTTTGAAGATAAGGGAAGTTATTAGGGAACATTTGGGATCAAAGAGAGTCCTTGAGCCTGACAGTAAAGAACACACGCTCATGGAGTTATAAAGTTAAGGGAGGATGGCTTGCTGGGGAGACTGGTGGACGCCTGGAAGGGAAGAGGTGGCCAGGTCCCGCCAGAGATAAGGGCGTGGTCCGAGGGAGAGGTGACCAGAACTGGAGGACCGGGCTGCCGTGTCAACCCAGCTGTTTGTTCTCTTTTGGCTCTGTGCAATCTGCTCAGAACCAAGAAATCCGAAACTGTGGAAGTTGACTTAGCTGGTGCTTCCAGTTTCATTCCTGGGCTTTTATCATTTTTTCCTAAGAACAAAATTCAGTGCCAGAGGGATCTTAGGGGATGGGCTTGCCTGTCTGATCCTGGCCTGACTACTCCGACCCCTCTCTGACCTGATCAACCATCATGGGAAGGCGGGGCTCACCTGCATTGTGCCCCAGCTCACTCTGGGAAGTTCCCAAGTCAGGATCTCCCTGAACTCAGATTTCTGGTGCTTTCTGGTGGAAGGGAGCCCACAGCTGTCGCTTCCTGGGTCCTGCTCCATGCTCACAGGGTCCCTGAATGCTGGAGGGGGCATGGGCTCAGTAGTATACCAACAGAAGATGTCTGTGTTCTCAGAATGCCAAGGGGACTCCGCTCCTCACGCTTCTCCGAGACCCTTACATCCTAGTAGCCGCGGGTGAGTTGGCCAGAGCCTCCTGTTTGGGCCAGGAGAGTCGGAGGGACCCAGTGGGGCGAGGTGGGGCTTCTGGCAGCTGCACTCGCTCACGGGAGTGCCTTTGCTTCCTCTCCTCCCCTCTCTCCCCTCCCCTCCCCTCTGCAGGTTCCATCTGCTTTGCCAACATGGGCGTGGCCATGCTGGAGCCCACATTGCCCATCTGGATGATGCAGACCATGTGTTCCCCTGAGTGGCAGCTGGGTAAGCAGCTGGTCCCTGCCTGGGCACGAGCCGTGGGTTCTCTCTCTCTCTCTGGTACACAGGTAATTGAGCTCACCCACGGCAGAGGGACAAAATATATTCCTTCGTATGATTACTTTCCAGGCGTGCACGTGTAAATCCAGCCCAGGGAGGGCAGGGGGAGATGGACTGTCCCCCTAGTGAGTCAGCTGGAGAAGGAGCAGGTGGGCAGGGACCTACGAGAGGACCTGCAGTGGAATGAGGAGATGTTTCCCGTTAAAGACCTAGGTCAATGTTGCAGTCACGTTCAGTGTCTGTGCAAACTCGGGCAAGTCACCCATTAAACATGCTAAGCCTTATTTTATAAATTTTCCTTCTTTTTTGTCTTTCAAAATGCTGTCTGGTTCTGGAATATGTAGTTGGCCTGGCAGTTAAGACAGCTGTTCCATATGAGAATGTGCGGGTTGGACTCCAAGCTCCAGACTCCGGCTTTATGCCAGCGTGGACCATGGGAAGCCGCAATGGCTCAGTTAGCTGGGCTCCTGCCCCCCAGGTGGGAGAGCTGGATTGAGTTTATGGCTCTCAGCCTTGGCCGGGGTGAATTTTTGAGGGTGAAGCAGTGGTTGGAAGCTCCGTGTGTCTGCTTCTGAACATGCGTTCTCTCTCTTTCAAATAGATATAAAAGATGATTTTTAAAAAGGATTCATTTTAGTTTTGAGGTACAGAGAGAGGGGAGAGAGATCAGCCTTCCGTCCACTGGTTTACTCCCCAAGTGGCTGCAATGGCTGCAGCTGAGTTGATGCAAGCTGGGAGCAAAGAGCTTCCTCCAGGTCTCCCATGTACGTGCAGGTGCCCGAGCACTTGAGCCACCCTCTGCTGCTTTCCTGGACCATAAGCAGGGAAATGGATTGGAAGTGGACCAGGAACCAGCACCTATATGGAATGCTAGGTGCCACAGGTAGAGGCTTAACATGCTACACCAACAGCTCCGACTCCCACACAAGAATTTTTAAAGAATATGATTTGGTTCAAAGGGAAATTGGTGGAATAAGTGACAGAAAGTGTAGAAATACTTTGTATCATCCACAGGGGACTTCAAAAAGTTTGTGGGAAAGTGGAATTAAAAGATAACTCTTGAAGCCCACGCACAGTTCATATTATGCTTTTCTGTGTGTGCACTGTTTGGAGACCTCTGGGACAAAATTAATATGCGTGGCCACCATTACCCATGCTTTCCTCGTTCTCCCCACACCTGAGATTACCCTTTTTGTCTTTCTACCTCTTAGCAGGCTGCTCCAGGAGTGTGTGCCATGCTTGTCGCCTAGGGAAGCTGCTAGGATCTGTCTCCAGGGGATGCTCTGGGCCCTGGAGAGGATTGTGAGACCTGTCTGAGCTCAGAGAGGCAGCCCCAGCCCTTTCCAGGAAGGGCTACGTGCAAGTGGCTCAGGTGCTGCAGGAGGAGCCGCTGATAAGGACCAGAAGCAGCAATAAAAAGCAATGTGTTTTTTTTTTTCCCTCTCTCTTAGAGGACAATGCTAGCCAGCCTTCCAGCTGCACTCCTAGCCCCAAATTGAATTTTGCTTTCAGACTGCACCTGCCTCTGTCCATGGCAAGTAATTGAGTTAGCCTTGTCCCGCCCTGTTCCGAACAGATGGCACAGCCCTTGCCCCGAGGCTCTGGCCTGTGAGCAGGTGCAGTGGAGCGGCCCCTCCCCAATAGCCCAGTCACCAGTTACTCGGTTGTCGGTGACCTGCCATCCTTGGTAACTTGGCTTAGTGCTCTGCCCGCGTGTGTGAAATCTGACTTCAAGGGTTCTCTGCGCTGAGCTCAGAATCGCTCAGAGAGCTTGCAGCAAAAGCACTTGGGCAGGCCCTGTGTGTTGCAGGTGGGGCGGACTTGGCCTTGAATAATGCTGTTGTTGGGAGCTGCAGGGGAGCCTGGGCTGCATCTGAGGTCGCTGGGATCTGTGACTGAGCCCTGGGTCGTGACAGAGTCCAGAGCCACGTGTGCACTGACTCTGCGACAGGTCCCGCAGGCTGAATCCTGACTCAGGTGCACTCCTTCTTCACTTTTTGTTTAAGATTTATTTTTTTTGCAAAGTCAGATATAGAGAGAGGAGTAGAGACAGAAAGGAAGATCTTCCAACCGATGATTCACTCCCTAAGTGATTGCAACAGCCAGAGCTGAGCTGATCTGAAGTCAGGAGTCTGGAGCTTCTTCTGGGTCTCACACATGGGTGCAGGGGCCCAAGGACTTAGTCCTCCTCCATTGCTTTCCCAGGCACATTAGCAGGGAGTTGGATAGAAAGTGGGAGAAGCCAGGAAAGGAACTTGTGGTCATATGGGATGCCTATATAGCAGGCTGTGGCTTTACATGCTGTGCCACAGTCCCAGCCCCTGATTTGTATGTTTTAAAGGGGTTGACACAGGGCCTGGAGAACAGAACGTGCTCAGTTAGTTAAGAAAAAATTATCATGAACCATTTCCATAATCATTTTTGCTGAAATCATCTTGTCAGTCACAGCTTTGTGTCACTGTCCCTTCCACAGCCACCCCGAGAGATGCTGCGAAAAATCACACGCAGTCCGGAGCACCTGTTCCTTTCCGAGTGCTCCTGAGATACATGTCACTATCAGATCCTGAAGAAAACGGGGTGGGTTGAGGAGAGCCACGTGCAGGCAATCCCACACCGTTTCAAATGATGCCAAGGCTATGGATGGGGGCCCCTCGGTCTCCTGGCAGTGCCCATTTCCGCCTCGTAGATAAACAGCTGAGCTCATTACAGCCTCCCCATCTTCAAAGCAATTACATTCAAACAAATGAGAATGGTCTGGAGCAGATTGTCGCCTTGGACAAGTGGGTTAGGCAAACAGAATGAGGCATGCTTTGCTTCCACACCGTGGAAGAGAATATTAAAAGCAAACACTCCGCCTGTCAGCAACTGGCCAATGTTGACTTCACTGGGCTTCATGGTGTTTCCTCCAAGGCTGTGGAGTTGCTTCCAGCTACAGTGAGCAGGGTAGCTGGGGCTCAGGAGACTGGAGGAGACCAGCACCACGCGTTCCCCGCAGCCCCCTTCCTTGTGCCTGAGCCACCTGTGTGGTATGGAGTGTGGTATGGAGCCACACGGGTGGTATGGAGTGGCGAGGACAGCTGGCACTGGAGGAAGCTGCCGCTGTCACTCACTGGTTATGATGATGACAGTGCAGGCCCCAGGGTCACAGGGCACTGTGCGAAGCGCTTGGCACCTGCGATCTCATTTAAACCCCACAGCTGGTCCACCTGCTGGGGACTCTGACTGTCCCCTTGTTTCAGAAACCTCCTGACGGCCCACACTGCCTTCCCAAACACTCTTCTCGGACACTTCCTGTGTCTCGCTGCCCTCACCAAGATGGGAGGTGCCACCAGGAACCCAGACCTCTGGTTCCCTCTTACAGGAAGCTTGGGTCTTTTAGGACTTGCCCAGCACGGCTGTAGTGGGATTGTTTGTTTTCCGTTCTCCCTCTAAAGCCTGGCACCACCGAAGAGGGTGCCCTTAGAGTCTGCCACTTCTCCCTTGGAGCACTTGATGTACATACCCAACAGCATGAATTCAGCTTTTTTTTTTTTTTAAAAAAGATTTCTTTATTGTTTTTATTGGAAAATTAGATTTACAAAGAGAAGGAGAGACCGAAAGATTTTCCATCCGCTGGTTCACTCCATAAGTGGCTACAATGATCAGAACTGAGCTGATCTGAAGCCAGGAGCCAGGAGCTTCTTCTGGGTCTCCCATGTGGGTGCAGGGTCCCAAGGCTTTGGGCCGTCCTCAACTGCTTTCTCGGGTCACAAGCAGGGAGCTGGATGGGAAGTGGAGCAGCCAGGGTGTGAACCGCCTCACATGTGGGATCCTGGCGTGTGCAAGGGTGGGATTTAGCCAGTAGGCTGTTGTGGTGGGCCCCTCATTTGATCTTTAGAGCATTTCAAACCTCAGGCTTTGCATTTCTTTTCCACACTGCTCTTGCTGCATTATGTTGCACGTAGTAAAAGTCCTTGAAAAGTGACGCATGATTGAGACTCTGGGAGAATTGAGGATATTGTCCAATGTCACGGATCTAACGAGTGGCTGATCTCTGATTTGAGAAGCCTACATTCCTGAAACACCTGACTCGTGGCTTTGATGTACTAAATACTTGCACATGCATGTCCTTTTTAAAAAATTATTTTATTTTTATTTGAAAATTGGAGTTACACGGACAGATGAAGAGACAGAGGGACCTTTCATCCGTGGATTCACTCCCCAAATGGATGCAGCGGACAGAGATGGGTGGATCTGAAACCAGGAGCCAGGAACTTTCTTCCAGGTCTCCCACATGCATGCAGGGGCCCAGGGGCCTTGGAGCCTCCTCCACTGCTTTCCCAGACCATAAGCAGGGGTGCATGCCCCCAGTTCACACCCTTTGTCCTGGATTTGCACGCGAATCCCTGAACCATAAAGCCAAGTGGTTTGGGGGATCCTGGAAGGTCATACAGGAGGCTCCCCCATCTCTAGGAGATGAGGGACAATATTGGGTGGATTTGCCATGTCCCAAGGTGGCAAGGTTGTTTGCGTCCTTTCACAGGTCTGGCTTTCCTGCCTGCCAGCGTGTCCTACCTCATTGGCACCAACCTCTTTGGTGTGTTGGCCAACAAGATGGGTCGGTACGTAGCCTGGGATGGAGGAATCTGGGAAGGACAGTGATGTAAGATGGAGAGCCCTCTGAGGGTCAGAAGGAGACCGGAAGCTTAAGAAGACCAGTGCAGACTGATTAAAGATCACCCACTGGGAGGAGGCGGGGGTGGGGCTGGCTGTTGTAGAAAGGATGGCAGGTACCTGAGGGACAGCACCCCCCTTCCAGCCACCTGCTGTCCTGGGAGATAGCAAGCAACCCTTGCTATGCAGGAAGCGGTCCAGAAGGGGGAGTGGTTGCCAAAGTATGTTCCATGGAACAGCAGGGAGGAAGTTCTACAGCAGAGCCCCAGCAGTCGGGTTGGGGGCCAAGGAACCATGAGCTCGGTTTCTGTTGCTTCGCTCTCAGGAGAACAACTTCAGTCTTGTCTCCAGATGTCACTGAACAGTAAAGCCCTGGCATCGCACAGCAGACCTGGGAAGATGTCTGATAGGTTTTCATAGGTCTCGAGTTGCACCTCAAAGACCCCAAGAAAATGCAAATAGGCAGGTGGTCTGAATTTGGAAAAGGCATGAGTGGACCCCGAGGAGGAGCTACAGGCAAGGGTTAGGAATCTTCTGGGCTAGGACATTGTTCTCCTAAAGGAAGGAAGAAAGATACTTTCCAATTGCATCTGTCCTGCCTGAATGAGAGAGAGAGAGAGAGAAAGAGAGAGAGAGAGGGACAGGGCTAAAGAGGAAACACGAGTGAGAAGAGGATGGGTACCACTCACATGGGTGCAGAGCGGCTGTCGAGGGTGCCTGTCCTGAGCTGTGGCTGGATTTGGGGTGGACACTGGCCCGTGTGTTGGGTGGGCCAGGAGGCATAGGGACTCAGTCTCCTAAACACCGCTTTTTGACTTTTGTTTGTTTCTCCATAGGTGGCTGTGCTCCTTGATTGGGATGGTGGTAGTAGGAGTCAGTTTGCTCTGTGTAAGTACAATAAGACCTCATGGAGAGAGAGAGAGAGAGAGAGGCAGAGAGAGATTTTCTCTTCACTAATGGCTGCAAGAGCAGATGTTGGGCTGGTCCAAAGCCAGGAGTCAGGAGCTTCTCCCAGGTCTCTCACAGGAGTGCAGGGGCCCAAGCACTTGGGCCATCCTCCATTGCTTCCCTAGATGCGTTGGCAGAGAGCTGAATCAGAAGTGGAGTTGCCCAAGTGGGATGCTGACTCACAGGCAGTGGCTTAATCCATTAGGCCACAACGCCAGCTTCTGAATAGGGAGAAACTTAGCTCTGGGGAGACACCAGCAGTGGGGGGTGCATCCACCGAGGGGAGAATGAGGGTGAAGAGAGCGAGCTGTGTCAGCTGCAGCTGGAGACTCTATTGCAGTGACATTCCAGCCACTGTGACAGGTCCCCACCAGTCAGTTTTTGGTCCCAGGTAGAAGAAGTGGGGAGAGAAGGGTCCTCCCACCTTTGGTGCCCCCTCCCTAGGAACTCTCCAGGCTGTCCTCTGCTCTCTGCCCTGCTCCCAGGTGCAGGGGAGATGGGGAGCTTCCACTCTGTCCCCATGAGCTGGGCAGGGGGCAATCCACCTGAATGACACCGGGAGGAGCTTTCCCCGTCTTAAGGTGCAAGTAAACGTTTGTCTCCATCAGCAGGAGGGAGAAAGTTCAGAGAGACGGAGCATGTTGCATGCACATGTCCCCGCACTTTGGACATTCCTCTCCATGACGACACACCCTTTGGACCCTGCCCCTCCCGAGGAGCTGGGGTCCCCATGCTTCCTTCCTCTCCCCCTACACCTTACAGGTTCCTCTGGCTCTAAATATTTTCGGTCTCATTGGCCCCAACGCAGGGCTTGGCTTTGCCATCGGTAAGAGGAACCCCTTAAGGCAGTGCGGGAAGCCCCGATGGCTGTTGGCTTTGGGTCAAGAGCAGGTGAGGGTGGGGGTGGACAGGCACAGGAGCAGGAGCGTGAAGAATCTTGGTCTGGCAGCGTCAGCATGGCAACGGCTGTGCCCACAGGCATGGTGGACTCGTCTCTGATGCCCATCATGGGCCAGCTGGTAGACCTACGCCACAGCCCGGCATATGGGAGTGTGTACGCCATCGCCGACGTGGCGTTTTGCTTGGGCTTTGCCGTCGGTATGTATGTGGTGGGTGGGTGGAGGCTCCACTCTGTCCCCTGTCCACGGCCTGGGCAGCTGCCCACAACATGAGCCTGTCCCACAAGAGCCCGAGAGGCACCTGGGAACCGAATGTGTTCCTCCCAGGCCCGTCCACTGGGGGCGCCATCGTGCGGGCCATAGGTTTCCCTTGGCTCATGATCCTGATTGGGGTCATCAACATCGCCTACGCCCCGCTCTGCTGCTGCCTGCGGAGCCCCCCAGCCAGGGAGGAGAAGCTGGTAAGAACTCTGGCCACCCGGGAACAAAGCGTATCGGGTCCCTTTGCTTCTGTTACTCTCTCTCTCACTACCTTCTCCTGCTGTTGGGAACCTGTCCACTTTGCCATGTTTTCTAATTCCCTTTCTGGGAAATGGGAGCTTGAGAATTGAAGCTGGGAGGAGGCAGTGGAAGGGAGGGCAGAGGCATCATGGTTGTTATGGTTACCAGCCAAGTGTGGCTTGAGTGGGCAGAAAGCCCCTGGCCTCATCCATTCACTGAATCTTCCATTATCCGCCTATTGTTCTCTCTTGGGGTGCACAGGCACCCCAGGGCAGCAGATTCCCCCACCTATAGTTTTAGCTGTGGCTAGAAGGGTCTGATGCCATTCCAGCTGGCAATGATATCTCCATTTGCCTCTTGTTGCAGGCCATCCTGGACCAGGGCTGCCCTATGGACACGCACATGTGGACCACCCAGAGACCCCAGAACGCACTTCCTCTGGGGGAGGAGGACAGCGACGAGTAGCTCCGTGCAGAAGGTGGACCCTGAGCCCCAGGGCCCTCCATGACCCAGGCTTCTCCCTCCTCCCGTTGTGCCCCACGCCTTCCTGCCCCCTGCCTCTCCCTGCACATACTGACCACTCAGACGGCCCCTCTCCAGTTGGGGAGGGGAGCGGTCGAGTGGCCTTTCCTCCCAGAGATGCTGTGAACTGGATTAAACTGGAGCTGTGGCGGGATTCTGCAACGGGGTGACTCATTGCATGGGGGCAGCAGGGGATGATGCCCCCTGAAACCATTGGGGGCTGCTGGCAAGGGTTAAAGGTGTGTGTGTGCTATTCCCTGGGGTTAGAAGGGTCCTTGGCATCGTCTTGCTGCCGGCTTGAAGGGGAGTAGGTGAATAAGCAGGGTGGTTCTTCTGTAGCTGAGCCTACAGTTGCCAAGATGGCTTTTATCCCAGCTAGCAGGCACTGCTTGTCAGCCTTACTACCCTGTGAGCATGCTTCTCTCACTGCTCACTTTCTGCCATTATCATGGAGTCTCCTCATACTGCCTGAGTACTTACACTCTTCCCAAGCCTCTTCAAAGTCCAAGGAGCAGAAGGACAGAAAAAAAAGCAGCCCTCATAGACCCAAGATCTCAGAGGCAGAAGTGACAAGAGCTGCCCGCTCCCAGCTGTGGGGTTTGCAGTGTGAAGAGTGAGTGCCATGAGGCTTGGGGTGCACCTGCTCAGGAGTAGGGTTTTGGTCAGTTCAGCCGTGGCAAGCTAAAGCTCTGTTTTACAGCACCTGAGCGTGTGTGGGTGAGCGCAGGAGGTTCTAGAAATAGGATTGCATCTCACCATCTTTTGAAAGTGGGTATTGGGGGTGAAATGAGGGGTTTCAAGGACACGGGAGATGCAGCACCCAACTTAGGGCATCCTCTGTGTCTCTGGGCCAGCAAGAGAGACAGGGAGGGTATGCACAGGCAGGCAGGAGGATTTGCAGTCTGGCTGGTGGATAGCAGCAGGGACGCATGGAGGTGGGACAGGTCGGGAAGACGCCACAGTGGGGTTGTGTAGGGTTTACCTGTAGGGACACCTGGCCTGGGGCAGAGCTAGCAGAGCCACGAGGAAACAGCCCAGTGGATTCCTTAGACACTGGGTGCCTGGCCAACAGATGGCATGGGGTGGGTGAGAACCAGAGCAATGGCATACCGTCATGTCATGAGCACCTCAGATTCCAAGGAGCCCCACAGCGAAGACGCGGCACAGACACTCAGGGCTGGGCTAATCCTCTTTCTAAAGGAGATGAAGAGGAAGCATCCTATGTGGGTTCGTGTCCTGGCTGCTCTACTTCTAATCCAGCTCCTTGCTAATGCACACCTTGGAGGCCGCAGGCGTTGGCTTGGGTCAGTGCCGGTCATGAAGGGGACTGGGATGGAGCTCCAAGCTCCTGGTTTCAGCCTGGCCCGGCTTTGGCTCTTGCAGGCATTTGGGGGAGTAAACCAAGGGATGGAAGATCTCTCTATCTCTCAAGCTGTTTGTTTTCCAAATTAAAATCATAAAAACCCATCAACGTTTAAAACAATGAACCAGATGGATTCTGTAGCTCCTGAAGTCACAGAGGGAGAGGAGTGTGGCTGTCGGGTTAGTTTTGGCTTTTGCTGGGTTATAGGGTCAGTGTCTGGCAACTTGCCTTAAAGAATCACTCCCAGCTCCCAGCTTGTGGCCTGGGGGAACAGTCAAGGACAGCCCAAAGCCTTGGGACTTTGCACCTGCATGGGAGACCTGGAAGAGGCTCTGGGCTCCTGGCTTCGGATCAGCTCAGCTCCAGTCATTTGTAGCTGCTCTGGGGAGTGAATCATCAGACAGAAGATCTTCATCTTTGTCTCTCCTCCTCTCTGTACATCTGATTTTCCAATAAAAAAAATAAATAAATAAATAAAGGGAGAATCTCCCAAAACCCTGAGCAGGCAGCCGGCCAGGCAGGGTCCTGAGGGGGCACAGCCACTTGCACAGCAGGCAGCAGAGAGCGCAGATCTGCACCCGGGTGGCTGGGACTCTGCAGGTTCTTTCCTTCGGACCCCGGCATCCGCCCCCGACACCTGCTCATGAGCCTGGAAATCACAACGGGGCTGGGAGAACATTCCGTGCACTCTAGGAACCCTGCTGTGTCATCTTCGCTTCCTCCAACCTGGCTGCTTGTCCCTCCTGTGCCCATCTCCCCTGCCAAATGGTCCCTCCGCAGAGGGGAATGGGGGTCTTGCAGTTTGGGATCTGTCTGCTCCGCAGCCAGTCAGTGGCAACTCCCAATTTGTCCAGGAGAGGGCAGCAGAGTCCATCCTAAATGGTAGACGGGCTTAAACACTCGGTGGTGGTGCCTGATTGAAATATTTCTTATCTATTCAGCATTCCAGCCCATCACACACACTGGGACACCCTGTGTAACCCTGTCCACCCACCTGTCAGTCAAATGACTCCTTCCCAAGGGACACTGCCCCTTACCTGGGGTCTGATGGAGGTGATGTCATAGCCACCCCCCTTTGAACCCCATAAGAGCCCTTGCCCAGGAGCGGGTCTCTCTCCACACAGGATCCTAGAAATCTCTCTCCCACATTCCCTTCCTGGCCCCTCTAACCCTGAGTGTGGCTCATGTGCCTCTGATTTCATCGTCTTTCTAATAAAGCTGTCATTTTGCAAGCTGATTTGGTGCCTTTTAAGGGAGGAGGCAAGACTCCAGGATAGAAATGCTAGGCCCCAATCTAGCTCACAACACTAGGAGGTACATTCGCAGGAGGCTCCCGTCCCAGAAATCAAACTTTGGCACTTTGGTCAGGAAGATGGGCAGCTCCACCTGCTGGGCATCTAGATTCCCGTTGTCCGCATCCCATGGCTGTGAACTGGGGACTTGGAGACCACTGACCCCCACCGACCTCACCTGGCCCAGAACTGGTGCAGGGCCAGAGAGAGGAGGGTGCACGGAGTGGGGTGCTCGGAGTGGGGTGCACATTGCTTGCCTCTGCTGGACCCCCGCCCACCACCACGCACCCAGGGTGGCGGGGTGAAGCAGCGGTGTGCTAGAGTCTGTGTTTCCCAAAGTGCAGGGATCCTGAATGTCCACACGGCACCCCTCCCCTCGGGGCCCTCTGCTCCTCACTCCTGCGGGGATGAGAGGGAGGCGAAGAACAGGGGAGACCCCCACATGAGCAGCTCAGAGCGTGGCAGGCCAAACGTCCAGAGAACAGTTCTCATGCCTGGCCACTTTCTGTTCCCCACCGTGGGGCGGGGATGTTAGCCGTCCTGCCTGGCCCCATGCCAGGGGGGTGGTGAGGGACAGCACCCTCAGGTAGCGTGTCCTGCAGGATGCTTGCACCCCTGCCGCCCCCTGGCTGAGCAGATGTCCAGTATGCCTGGGGACTGCAGTGTGTGTGTGTGTTTGTGTGTGTGTGTGTGTGGAGGGGTGCCGTCCATGTTGGAAAAGGCAAAGAAATGCTTCTCCCAGACTCACGTTGGACTCCTATGCCATGGAGCAGGGAGTCACGATGAACGCAGTTTAAGCCACCAAGCTGGCAAGCCGTTTTAGGGCAGCCACGGAAAGCTCTACTAAAAGGGAACGGAGTGTGGAGCCTCTTTGCTAATATACATGCGGCCACAAGGTGGCGCCCTTTCCCCACAATTGAAAGCCAGCTCCTTCCCTTGCAGGTGGCCAGCTTTTTCAATAGCAGGGGGTCTGACACAAGCAACAGACAACTCTGACTCTATGAAACGGTTCCAGGAGGGAGTGTGAGGGGGTCTGTTTCCTGTCCCATTTCAGTTTACGTTGCACAAGCCACCCGGGGCCCGGGCCAGCCCTTGTCCGTGCCGGGACTGCTGGAGGCTCACCTGGTCTGGGCTGTCAAAAGCAGCTCCTGCTGGCCAGTTCTCCGGCACCTGGGACTGTAACATTCAGCAAGCAGAAGCCTGCATTTTGCCCAGTGGCTGACACATGTGCACCCCACAGTCAGAGGGCCTGGTTCCCTGTATGACTTCAAGCTCCTGAGCACAGCTTCCTGGGAGGCAGTGACAAAGTCCGGTGCAAAGATCCACAGTTCCACAGCAATATAAACAGAGAACAAACAACAGCAACCTATCACAAGAGGCCTTTTCCATTCCTGTGTATTTCTTGTAGTCTGTAGGAGCCATCACATGTTGGAGAAAGCGGCCGAGGTCTGTGTTTTGGGGACTGGCTTATTTCACAAAGCACACCGGTTTCCGGTTACATCCATGGTGTTGCAGAAGACAAGACATCATTATTTAATAGTTGAGTAGTATTCCAAAGCGTGTGTGTCTGTATCTATCACATTTTCTTTATTAGTTAGTGGACAGCTGAGTTGATATCAATTGGGGTGAAGTGAAACCTCACTGAGTGTGCGTGTGCCCGCTGTCGAGGGATTCAACTATTGCTACGACATAAAGGGAGTGAAAAGGGAAATCTCTGAACCGAAGCAACTGTACCATGAAAAATAAAGAATTAAAAATGTCTAAATGGATAACAATGCATGGATTTGGGCGCCTTGATTCTGTCATGGTTTCCTGGGAAACAAGGTGGTTTGGATGAAGGATGGACTGCAGCTTCCTTTATGAAGAGAAAAAAATGTGAACCAGGAGCAAACTGGAGGCCCAAGCCATTTCAGAAGATGGAAAACTCGTTTCACTCTTTCTCATGACCAAGGAAACCTCCAAGTTTAAAATCCAACTGTTCAGCGTCTAGAGGAATCTACATCTAATTCCTGTTTCTCCATCCAGATCTCAAAACGACCCCTCTTGAGTGACATGTTGAAAACAGTATCCCACGTGGAATCCCCATTCTAGGTGTAAAACTAGGCCTCTTGAATTGTTTAAAAAAAAAAACAAACATAATTGTAGAAACACAGGTGCCTCTTGCCTGTATCTCTCAGAGATGCTGGTCTGGATTCAAGCTATGACCTAGCGTCCACCGGCCGTTGAAGCTCATGGAGAACGTGTGCTAAGAAGTGCAGGCACTTGTTCCCTGTAAAGGAGTTAGCCCA